GAGGGAGAAGGGGTGGTGGAGAATGATGATGTCGCTGTACAGTTACTCCTCACATCACCTGATATTGCTTCTTCTTTTTTTTTTTTTGCCTGCCATATGCTGCAGTCTTAAGACTAGGGACGCAGTTTTGAGTACCAGAAACACTGGCAATCCCTCAAAAAGAGACTGTGTCTATACTCCTGGCCCTGTATGCCAAAATCCTTAAGTATCTGATGGAGCTTTATCTAGAAACCGTGGGGCTATGAACAGTACAGTACTGCCAGTGGTTGATACAGCCTACTCATCTTGTACCTGCAGTAGCCCACCCAACAGAAATGGGAAATGACTGAGCGCTGAAGGAGCCCTGCCTGGACCCATGTGACTCTGAACCCACCAATCTGTGATCTTCCTGTTTTTCGGTTCACCATTTTTTGCATCACCAGTCTGCAGCTATATGGGTCTGAAGACGAACTTATGGACTAGCGTCTGACTTATGGACTTGAATTGGACTGGATCGATATTATCTTCTTGATACATAATTCTTTCTTGATATAAAGTTCTTTCTTATATATACATAAGTGTGACTGGATTTGTTTCTTCAGAAAACCTGGCCTAAGAAAAATGGGTTAAACAGTAGAGAAAACCTAAAATTATACTTATTCCTTGTGATAGATTCAGGTCAAGCAAATTCTTTTCTCACAGTAAATTTTATCGAGGGACAGGAAGAGAGATGGAATAACTTGTACAGATGTGTTCACAATAAAACAGTTAAAGTGGAGGGAGTTAATCTTTCATATATGAAAAGGATAATGGCTGGAAGGGTGGCGGGGCATGCAGGGAGGCTGCAATATAGTACATTATTTAACATGGCTCTTCTAACCATAGCCTTCTTGCTCCCACCAAATCACATTAGTTTTCCTGATACATCTGTGTATGATGATGAGGCAATGATTGGACTATGTAGTTCGCCTGTGAGTGACTGTTAACAGGGTTAATTGTGATTTTCAACCTGTTAGGCATAACATCAACCATCTCAGAAGCAGAGATCTCACTACAGCAAGCCAAAAGCCAGGAGTGGAGCTTGCATCTCACTTATTGCTCTCTGCTTAGCCTGATTCTTGGGGCTTCAGTTGCAGCCTTCACTTGGCCTGGTTTTTCTAGCTTCTGCAGCTTTGTGGATGAGGATGAGGAAGATTCTCCAGATGGATAGCTGATCTTCTGACATGGGACTTACTAGCACCTGCAACAATGCAAGCCATTTTCCTTAACACTTTGTGAGTTCTGTGAAATGCTGAGTGAATTGCAGAATCCTGGGACGTAAGGGAATATACTCATGGAAGAAGTGGTGACTGTTTACCAGGGATAAGGCATGGTGTAGTTTTGTTTTGTGTCCCCCCCCCCCCCAAGTTGGACATTTGGGAGATCTTTAATCTCTACCTTCTTGGGACTAGTCCTGTATTGATTTTTTCTAAAAGAAATTTTTTCACAACTCCCCTATGCTAGCCCAACAAATAATAGCAATATATTTTTGACGGAGGGGCAAGGACACAGAGAAAGACACACTCACTCAGAGGAGGTGACACACTAGGAGGGTCAAAAGCTGAAGGTGGAGCAGGATTATTGAGAAAAACATTGTAGACACAGACTCCATCCTGAGCACAAGGGAACTCTAGGAGAACTGGTGGTACGTGTCGTCAGGTGTCGTCTTACAGCAACCCCGTGTACAACTGAAAGCAGCACTGTCCAGTCCCGCACCACCCTTACAATCGCAGCGTTTGCGTTTCCTCTTGCAGCCACTATGTCAATTCATCGCACTGGGGCTCCTCTGCCTTCTCACCGACCCTCTACTTTCCAAGAACGTGTCCAGAATTCAAGAGATGAAGTGTCACCGTCTTTGCTTTCAAGGAGTGTTTTGGTTGTACTTCATTCAGGACATATTTGTCTGTTCTCTGGCAGTCCGTGGTACTTTAAATATTCTTCACCAAGACCAAACTTCAAATGCATCAATTCTTCTTTGATTTTCCTATTCATTGTCCCACAGACCACAGCAACAACAAAATCCAACCCAAGTTAAACTTCTGACCAGATTAAATCAATTTACACAAATAATGAATGACCTAGAAGAAGTGGGTCTAGTTCTAAGTTTAAATACTACTTACAACTCAGTCTCTCTGGCCCTCTACGCGGTCACTTTATAATTATGATGTTATTATCAAAATATAAAATAGTCAGACACATACAATGCCCCAAGAGAAAAAAGAACCGCACTCAGCTATGATCCAATGCTTCAACTACCAAAGAAATACTTTAAAATAATGGTGATTAATATGTTAAGGAGTTTTGGTGTGCTGTGGGCTAGGTATGGGGCTGTTAACTACAATGTTGGTGGTTCAAAATCACGAGCTTCTTCGTGGGAGAAAGATGAGGTTGTATGCTCCCAGAAAAATTTATGGTCTTGGAAACCCTAAAGAGGGTCACTATAAGTTGCAACTGATTTGATGGCAGGGCTTTTAATTTATGGCAGTATGGGTTTTCCCCCCATTTAATTGGGAGCTCTTACAGATATTCTAACAATCCATAGTTCAATTAGATCAAGCATGAGTGTACAAACAATTGCTGCCATCATCATTTTCAAACCGTTTTCTTTCTTCTGGCCCTCTTTGATATCAGCTTTCCTTTGTATTTGCTCTCCCCCACCTTACCCCCAGGAACCCTCATTATTATATTAAATATTGTTATTGTTATTCCTTTCCCCCCTCTTATCTTACACTTTTCAATGTATCCATTCACCTACCATTCTGTTATTCATTCCCCTTGCGGGGAGTTATACAGTCATCGTTGCTATCAGTTCCAACTTCTCCCCTCCCTCCCCTTTCAAAACCCACAAGGAATCATTACTCCCATTATGATTTCTGAAGGACTTATCTATCTTGGATTTCATATATGGAACAATCTTAATTATACAAATGAACATATACAGATCTAATAGGATTAATGAGATAAAACGAAGACCATAATAGTGGGGGGAGGAAATATTAAAGAACTAGAGAATATCTGTGTGTTTCAACAGTACTATACTGAACCCTGGATATATCCTCCCTTCCATGTGGCCCTTCTGTCCAGTTATCTTGCAGGTGGTTTTGGAGTCTCCACTTTGCCTACATTCCTTGATATCAATTTGGTTGCTTCTTTTTTTTTAAACTTCTGATACCTATTCCCATATGACAATATGTTAAAGGCTCTCATAGAAAAGGTAGATAACACACATCAACAGATGGGAAATTTCAACAGAGTGGTGGAATCTATAGGAGGAGTCAAATGAAAATGCCTTAAATTAAAACAAAAACACATTAAGAGGTTGAAAAAATGCCTTTAACAGGCTCATGAGTAGATTTACATAACCCAGAAAAGAATCTGTAAACTTGAAAATAAATGAAAAGAAATTCCCTAAACTAACGTATAAAGAGGGAGAAATAAAGCTAGAAGAAAGAAAAGGCAAACTATTCTCCCACACCATGCTTTCTCAAAGTTATTTGGTCTAGCGCTCCCTTTTCAAGGGGAAAAAAAAAGTCCCAGCACCCCAGGCAATTAAAACCTTTGCACTATAGCTCAAACCAAAGGAAAACGTGTGGGTATCTGCTTTTTCAGCCTCCCTGGATTGTTTCAGTGGCCCACAGAGGGTGCTATCTCCCACTGTGGGAATAAAGCTGTAGGACAATATCACAAATTTACTATACATGGCACAGTAAAACCCATGAAAGCTGTTACTTGTATAAGGTGGGAAACTGCCAGAGAAGGAAAACTCAAATATTTTCCACTTAAATGATTATTTGAGCTTAATAAATATTCTGTGAAAGCTAGAACCTGTGAAATGTGGCTAAAACCAGAAAACTGCTGGTATTGCAACCTGAATACAAGGAAGCACAGATAACGAAAGTTGGAAATAGTTCTAGGAAGTACAAGAATCAGAGACGAAGGCTCACTCTTCTACTTCCGTTTTGCATTGGTACTGTGTGTGAGGGAGTGCTGTGCATCACTATTGTTCTATGAATACATCTGTTCTTTACATTGTTTCGCTTTTTTGCACCTTCCTTTTTTCCTATAAATTTTACTATAATAAATAGATCTTTTAGCATGAATTTTTATATAAAATGCTTGTAAGATAAAGTCTATATTTCATTATTGGGCCCCTCGTTACCATATTGATCTTATTCCTACCACTTTAAGTAAAATATCCCCCACTTCGGTCAAAAAGGGGGCTTTAGTGTCACAGTAGTTACACTTTGGACTGCAAGGTCAGCAGGTCGAAACCACCAGAGGCTCCTCAGAAGAGAGATGAGGCTTTCTCCTCCCATGGAGTGTCAGTCTTGAAAACTCACAGGGGCAGTTCTACCCTGACCTGTAGGGTCACTGCAAGTCAGCATTGACTCACTGGCAGTGAGTTTGGTTTGGTTTTGAGCCAAAAATGGACAAGTCTCCATTTTCAGAACATGCCACACCCTCTTGTAACTGATGAATTCCTACTCAAGATGTAGATTAAATGCTACACTATAGCTATGTGTCTACATCTCAGAGGTCATTTTAAAAATCCCAGTGCTAGGTACACAACAAGGGTCTAAAGAATGAATGAATTGGCTACTTATTAATTTTGTAATAAAATCACAGGACAAAATCTCCTCATTTGCAGTGAGTGATACTATGCTTACTCTGACCTTTTCACCATGTTTAGAAACACCACTATGACTTACTATGAGAAGTTCATCTCACCCGAGATTCACTAAGTATTCATTCATTTTAAGATAAAAATTTACAAAGATTCTGTTATATATTTTCTAGACTAATCTCTTTTTTTTCCTGGGGGGGGGGATGTTTTCTTTCCTTTTTTAATTTTAATTTTCTTTTATTGGGGGCTCTTACCGCTCTTATCCTAATGCATACTATATATCCACTTTGTCAAGCACCTCTGTGCATATGTTGTCATCATCTTTTGAAAAAAAGGAAGACTAATTTCTATTACTTACAGCGGCTGGGTGGGCTGATGTCCATTACAGTCAAAGTAGGGTTGTCTATGTCACTCCCCCTCCTTCTTATTCGACTGTCATCATACTCCGGGGTAAAAATACTGCTCCCACTACTAGTGCTTAAGGAATGGTCAGTAGGACTGAAACTCACAGGAGACCGGAAGCTAGTCCCCTGGGTCCTCCTAGCTCTTGGAAAAGTTTTACGACCTATAAATAAAAAAATAATTATCTTAACATCTTTTATTAATATACTGTACTTTAATGTGTACATATATGTAAGTTGGAGAACAAAACTGTTTTGGTAAGAATTGTAATAGGAATGATTATTTGATATGTTTTAAACTTAAGAATCTATTCCCACCCCCACCCCCACCCCCGCCCCCAAAGAAATGTCCTTGTTACCAATGACTCACAAGGTCAGAAAAAAGCAAGAAGTGAAGGTTCAAATAAAGAGGAAAACGGTAGAGCAAAAAAAAAAAAGCCTGAGAACTGACTGCCAATTCAAGTAATTTCTTATGGTGAAACGCTCACACAAGAAAATCACAGAAGTCCCTCCCGTTTGAACAGAAAAGGGGGAAAATAATATTTCCAATAATGATTTAAAAATGCAAAACAAAGTTTGTAAAGGCAGTAATAATTTTTCTTTAAAGGGGCAATGCTAGGAAGCATTCTGCCATCAAAAAGTAGTTTTCTAATTAATAATATTTAATTGCTTTATTTCAAGAGATTAAACAAGTTATTATGAATTAAGCTGACATAAATTAAAATATTTTAAATTGTAATTCCTTTTTCTAAAAATATTAAAAAACAAAGTGATTCAGGAACACTCCTTATCCTAAGGAGAATAAATAAATATGAGAATTTAAAGCACGTTGTTATTGTTGCCTAATTGCCAGAAACTTACCATCATTATAGTCTTGGTGGTGATATGAAACATGATACCTTCTTGGATATGTTCCTCCTTTTCCAAATTTCTCAAAGATAGGATTATCATAGTCTGCTAAGACATGGAATGTTATATATTGTAAAAAGAAAAAAAGGCATATATTTATAACTAACATACACAATAATGAATTTTCATTTGACTCTTAAATATCTCCCTTCACCCTCCCAAACCATCACTTAATGACATCAATATTTAAACATTTACAATTTGGATAGGCTAACCTGAAAATTCCTGATGATTATCTGGGTAGCTCTGTGCCCTAGGCATTCGTGACTTTGGATAGCTTTCTCTGTAAGGAGAAAGTAATATGTTACATTAAGAGAAACTATATAAATAAGATACTTTTTTCAAAGTTTAAGAGCAATTTCAGTGTACGTAAATATGTAAACAAATGTACTTATACATTTAAACATTAAACATCTAAATGTAAACATTAAACATTCAAATTGCGAAAGATATCTTATACAATTTGAGTTCATAAAGAAATCCAACAAGAAACTAAATAGGTAACCCAAACCAAAGCCATTGCCAATCAGTTCATTCCAACTAGCAATCATCCTAATGATTTCAATAAAGATAACAAATTTTTGTGTCAACCCAGAGCACTGTCTTATTTAGACCAGGATTGAAAGGACTTGTAACAAAAAAAAAGTTACATTTGGAACATTCCAATTATATTCCTAAACAGCTATTTCACAAATCAAAAAATACTTAAGTGACATTAAAACACCAGGCCATAATGTAAGCTATTTCTAATTTGTGCCAGAATGAATATAATCCTGAAGCAACTCTAGAAATCTAAAATAAACCCAAATAATTTAAAGAAAAATTTAATTTGTTTCACCTTTACAGTTTTAAAAGTAAATGTAATTAAATTCTAATTTTGAATTAGCTTCAAATACCCAATTTTGGCAAGTAGGAATACTCAGAATAGTATAATCAGAAGAGACCCTTGAGGTGAAGGAATTGGTCCAATCAGTGAAAACATTCCATTGCAATAAATACAGACAGGTATCAATTACTTTCCTCTGAATGTAGCACAGATGAGTTCTTGATAATTCAACAGGCTAACTATCCAGATATTCAGAAAGAGAAACCACAATCAACATTACCCATCCAAAGGACTATCAAGTGATGGACAGCTTCCTGAGCCAGAGTTTTCAGGGCTGCTTAAAGATAATGGATCCAACATCTAGAAAAATAAACAAGAGTAGCTATACATAACAATGATGCAATCGGATATAAAGGAAAGCTGCTTTCTGTTGTTCTTTGTTTTAAAATCAGCTTTATGAGATATAATTTATATACCATAAACATTCATCCACTTACATTGTATGATTCAATATTTATTAGATTCCCAGCATTGTGCAACTCTCACAATTTTTACTACCCTCAAAAGAAATACCAGACCAACTTCCAGTCATTCCTAGGAATTAAACCAAACCACACCTCCTGACAAGAAAACCTAAAAGCCACCCCCCAAAAGCAAACCAAACCCACTGCAATCAAGTAAACTCCAGCTTATAGTGACTCTATATAGTTACAGGACTGTATGTCTTTATATGAGTAGACAGCCTCATCTTTCTCCCAATAAGTAGCTGATGGGTTTGAACCACCGACCTTGAAGTTAGTAGTTAGTTTTCAAATGCTTTAAGTGTACTTATCCCTTGCAGAGAAGCCAGTACGTACTTCAAAATTTTCCAGGAGAAAATATTTTCTTTATAATTAGTTTAAATAATAAAAATCTACCATTGTTAACACAATGTCACTTGCTGAAATGGAAAAATGCCCCAGACAAATTAAGACTCCGGACATAATGATTGCTACATTATAAAGCATAGCTTATTCTACAATAGTGTGAGCATTTAATATAATGTTAAGAAAATAATGCAACTCTAAGAATAATCGACACTAGAAAACTAATTTTTAAATATTCCTCAAAATTAAAAAATTTAAATATTTGTAGTTTCATTTTATCTTTCAAATGTTAATTAAAGATATAAACATTAAGCCCAGGACAACAAACAAACACAATCACTCATTTATGGATGAGCATTACAAGAAATCAGCCTTATTTCAGTATTTTCCATACACCAAAGCACAGAGGTATCCATATATATATATTAGTGGGTATTTCCCTACACATATGTATTTTCTGTTCACTCAAAAAGGAAGACGTATGATTAAAAAACAGTTAAAAACAAAACAACCACACACACATAACCACTCCCTATACCAGGTACTTGCCAAACCACACTGACCATAACAATAGCCATATTTCAGTAAAATACAAAACGACGTCAAAGTTTTACTTACTTGGTCCATGCTCTCTGGAATGAACTCTCCTTCACTGTTGATACTAGTGAATGATCCATTCCTGGCAACCTGATGCAATTCATCTGGAATGTACCCTGGGGGAGGGGAACTTCTATCTCTACTAGTAGGACCTCAAAAGAAAAACATCATACGATTGTATAAATATCAGTAAGAAAACCAATTGTTTTAGTTACTACAAAACAGAACTATAGCCTATCTACTAAAAGTTTTTAGCACTCGAAGTCTCATTTTTATTAAGTTA